AAATACACAGTTAAAATCCTATGCAAATATATGAATTGTTTTCCAGTAATGAGTAGTTTGCCTACTCAGCATTCTCGTAAGGAAAACACATACTGAGGTAGAGTCTTGAGGCTTGCACACATGAGGCAGGCTCACCACCACTAAGACTTTATCCTTAATTTCCATTTCTTAAGTTTTAGTTCAGCTTTTATCCCCCTCACATACAATTGCCTTCATTGTTTTAAGTGAGAGTTTTGAAAAATAGAGAAATCAGAAGAAATTTGGTCAAACTGATTCCATAATACAAATGTAGTACTGTATTATTTACACAGACAAATTAATGGACTACTAAAGACAGAATTTAGCAATGAAGACAAGTCACCATTCTTACCTGAAAACGAAAGAAATATAATTTAAATGACATTTTCATTAGCATTATAAACTGTTTTAGAGCACATGAAGCATAGATGAATTAGAATTCAATATGTGAGCTGAAAAGTACTTTAAGAAACTTTTTCCAAAAAAATGGTAAAATTTAGTGTCCCTAGAATTTGTGCTCCTGTATTGTTATGTACTATCTGACCATTATTTACAAGGAGAGAGAAAAACAATTACTGTTAATTATTTATTAATACTAAAATATTAATGAGCATTGCCAAGAGTAATGAGCTTTTGGATGATAAACTGGGTTGAATCATGTGGCAATGCAGCCAACACAGGGGCGTGTGTTTAGAGAGCAGAACAAATGACTTAACATGGGCCTAAAAGCAGCAATCAGAAAAGGTTCATTTAACATAGAGATGGCACAAGCTTCAAGCAATTGCCTCTACTTAAGTAAGTGTGGGATTACAAAAGGCTATTTATTACAGTCCAAAGGGGCCATACAGCTTGCTCAAAAACCTTTGAAGAAATCCAACAGTTACAAAGTCTTGCTAACTTCAGAAGCAGTAAAATTTGGGCAGACCCCAAAATTTCCTACAAATGCTTTCATTACAAAAGTTAATACAATCCTCATCCCACTTTTCCTGGACCTGAATTATTTATTTATTTTTTTTTTTTTGCTCTCTGGTACTTATAACGAGCAATATTAGACCTGGTTATTTTCCAAAACTACCTTGACATGCATTTTAATCATAAAGAAGTATAATGTATTTTCACAAAGATATGGAATCAAATATAAGACCTCCTGTGCTTAAACAAAAAGGGTTTCAACACTGATATCTCTGAAATTATCTGTAAGTAGTTTGTGTTTTAAAGAAAAGCATTCAAGTATGACAATATTCATGTGGGATTTCCCCTTTGTATTCTGTGAATACGACTGGTTAATAAAGAAACTGCCTTGGTCTACTGATAGGGCAGAACTTAGGTAGGCAGGGAAATCTAAACTGAATGCTGGGAGAAAAAAGGCATAGTAAAAGAGAAGCCATGTACCCTCCCTGGAGATGGACACCAGAACTTTACCCGGTAATCCACAGCCATGTGGAGATACATAGATTACTAGATATGTATACATAGATACATATGTTGACATAGGTACATAGATACTAGAAATGGGTTAAATTAATATGTAAGAGTTAGCTAATTAGAAGCTAGAGCTAATGGGCCAAGCAGTGATTTAATTCATATAGGTTCTGTGTGATTATTTTGGGGCTAAGCAGCCGGGAACTAACTAGCAGCCTCCTTACAACATACTATGCTATTTGTGTTTTCACCAAAATAATGAACAACTAAAAAGATTTGCTTCAGCAGAGAAAGTATGGAAACTTCTCTATTGTTTACATAAGATTTAAATGTGGTTCCAAGAACATTGAGGGCTATATTTTTATTAGCACTTGGATTATGAATTTATTTTTTGTATTAGGGCAAGTAGAGACAAAATGGTTCTTTAATTTTCAATATAGCTGCTAGCAATTTCTGCTATAAATGTTGAATATGTTTATGTCAATTATAATGAAAATGAAATATTTTGCTCTAAATTAACTTCAGGGCAGCAAAGGTAGGGGAGGAAGTCAATTTCCATTTAAAACAGAATATTGAAAAGATGAAGAGCAGGCCTGAAAGGTAAATGAATTCAATTGACTTAATTCCTTTTTTTGGAAAGATTTTTTTTTATTGATTTTATTGAGCTATACATTTTTCTCTGCTTTCCTCCTTTCTCCTCTCCCCTTCAACCCTCTCCTATAGTCTCCATGCTCCCAATTTACTCAGGTGATCTTGTTTTATTTTACTTCCCATGTAGGTTAGATCCATGTATGTCTCTCTTAGGGTCCTCATTGTTGTGTAGGTTCTCTGGGATTGTAAATTGTAGGCTGTTTTTCTTTGCTTTACATCTAAAAGCCACTTACGACTGAGTGTCTTTCTGGGTTTGAGTTACCTCACTCAATATGATGTTTTCTAGCTCCATCCACTTGCCTAAAAATTTCAAGATGACGCTATTTTTTTTCTGTTGTGTAGTACTTCATTGTGTAAATGTGCCACATTTTTCTTATCCATTCTTTGGTCAAGGGGCATTTAGGTTGTTTCCATGTTCTGGCTATGACAAATAATGCTGCTATAAACATAAGTGAGCACAGGTCCTTGTGATACGGTTGAGCATCCTTTAGGTAGATGCCCAAAATTGGTATTTCTGGGTCTTGAGAAACGTTGTTCTCTAATTTCCTGAGATATTGCCAAACTGATATCCAAAGGGGTTGTACCAATTTGCATTCCCACCAGCAATACAGGAATGTTTTGTTTATCCCATGTCCTTCCCAGCATACATTGTGATCAGTGTTTGGGATCTTGGCCATTCTCACAATTGGAAGATGAAATCCCAGAGTTGTTTTGATTTGTATTTCTCTCATGGCTAATGATATTGAGCATTTCTTTAAGTGTCTTTCAGGCATTTTTGGATTCCTCTGTAGAGAGTAGTTTAGATCTTTTTTTTTTTTGTATTGGATTATTTGTTCTTTTGATGACGAATTTCTTGAGTTCTTTGTATATTTTGGAGATCAGTTTTCTGTCTGATGTTGTGTTGGTGAATATCTTTTCCCATTCTGTAGGATGCCGTTTTGTCTTGTTGACTATGACCTTTGTTTTACAGAGGCTTTTCAGTTTCAGGAGGTCCCTTTTCTGAGAAAAAAGTAAAAATAAAATAAACTGATGCTTTTATTCAAAAAGTAAAACCTACATTTTTCTTTAACATAAAATATTGTATTTTCATTCCCAGGCCACTTGGGATAGCAACACATTCATTAGAGCTGAAGTTAATATTGGGATCTTACAAACAAAAGAAAGGGGAGAGTGGAAATGTATTGTAACAACTGAAGGGGTACAAGTGATGGCTAAGAAGGAATGCACTACTCTTAGGAAAGTTATAACTATGCAAGGCACTTAGAGACAGAGAATGTTTGAAAGAAAACCTGAATATAAAAGTTGTCATGTGGTGACAGAAGCATTTAATTAAGAACCAATACATGTGAATGCCTTTAATCCCCACTCAGAAGACAGAGACAGATAGATGAGTTTGAGGCCAGCCTTGTCTACAGAGCGAGCTTCAGGACATGCTCCAAAGCTACAGCGAAACCATATCTGAAAAATCAAATAAAAAAGAACCAATATATAATCTAGTGATGTTCACTCATATGGGAAGAAAAAAATCAAATAGTGCTTGATTTTGTAAGAATTGCTGAGAATTTATAGTTTCTGTTTCATCATTTGTGAGTATAATTTCAGTGGCTTGAAGCATCTAATATAGCTAAACAAATGAGGTTATAATGACAGAAAAGCCCTATGTTGGTCTTTCTTGGAAGACGTTAGAAAATTTTCTTTAAAAAGAAATAAAATAATATAGGTCCATCATTTATTTAATTTTTATTCAAATTATACATAGTGGTAACCAATGAATTGGTGAGGGCAAGTGTCCATTTTTGGATTAAGTGAAGTAATAAAAAAGGAAAGAATAAAACATAGCATTTTTGTATGCTTCAGTAAATGAGGCTTCTGGACAAGGCTGATATCATAAAAATTGCTAAAATAATTAAAATTTGCTTCTTTCATGATGAAATGACATCGGTAGCTACTGTATATAAAACTCTCTGAGTTTTTGTTTGGCGTTTATGCACCAATGCAGAGTGGTAGATTCCATTAGGGCAGAGTGGCATTGCTCCCAACAAGGCATTTCAATTATCTTGTGAGGCGAGACTTGATATAAGTACCTGGGTGGACAGAACACATTTTTTTCTTTTCACCAAGAGGAAATCTCTTCAAATGTATTTTACGTTACGTTAGAAACAAAGGTGCCTGTATCATATCTGGCCTACATAAATGGGTTTCTATTACCATTTCCTGATTTGGATAACATATGTGGAATAATCATTAAATAAGGTATTTTAAAATGCATCTGTATAACTAACACATAGAGCAAATGTCTTTACATTTCTTATTACATTTTTCATAATAAATGAAATTTAAAAATAGGATATTGGTTCCTAAATATGTAAGTTTATTTGTGGGATTTCTGTTAGAAGTCAGGATCTACTGTAATATGTTATGTATCATACTTCATGTATAATGCCCTGAATATTACCACTACCTATGGATATCAAGGGACTCCTGGTGCATAATGGATTCCAGTCCACTTCCAGAGTTGCACATGAGAATGTTATCAATGAGAATGAGCTGAAGAATCTGGCATTAATAACTTTGCAACATTATAACAAATAGGTAGCCCTGATGTTTAGTTCCATGTTTTAATACATCAAGTATATTTCACTGCTTACATCATAGTAGTGGATTGAAAACATCTGCTCACTTGCCAGTAGTCCACAAGCAGCAGAAAATTTCAGCTCCTTTTCTATAGGCTTTCATGCATCAGGGATGCAATCCAGCTGCTGGAGCAGCACAGGAGGCCAGATTAATACTCAAGAGCCTTGGAAATGGAAAAGAAAAGAAAAAACGAAAAAGCAATGGTAGACTCTGTGCTTGTCACTTTTCTCTGTGTTCTCCCACCCCTCACTCTCTCCTCCTTCATCTGTTTACAGCTCCATCACCTGTTGTGACAATTAAGAAAGATCGGACCTCCAGAAATAGTATTTCTTTATCTTGGCAAGAACCTGAGCATCCAAATGGAATCATCCTGGATTATGAGGTCAAATACTATGAAAAGGTGGGGGAAAAGGTGTTACAGGGTTGGATTGGGTAGAGGAAATTCCTATTATCTCATGAGCTACAGACACTCATTCAAATAACGCAATGATGCAGCTTATGAGTGGTGGAGTCCTGTTTATAACCTGGTTGTGCGACCTTCCTAATTTGTAGGTAGAAGGCATCTAGAAACCGTCTTTTCAATTCATCTTTTTTTTTCTACATAAAATAGTTACATTAAAGATATCGCTTTCAAATGTAAGCCAGTTAGTAATGACAATAGACAGGGAATCTAAGTCTGTTCTCATCAAAACTCCTGCAATGTTAGCACTTTTATAGTTGTTCCTCAGATAGTTGATGCACATAAATATTAAAAATATTAAGTAATAAAGGAAAAAAATTAGGCATTAAAAATTGTGCTTACATAAATGTAATATATGTATATATGTTTATATATACAATACATTTATTATAGCATGCAGACATTAATTTAAAAATAATTCCAAAATAAACATTTTGAATGTTTTGTTAAAACTTTTTACACAAGATCTATCTTCTTTCATGCTTACTTTGCTATAGGAAATAAATAGGGTCTGGTTCTGAGAATAAGAGCAATGTTTTTTTTTTAATGAGTGAATTAATGATGTAAAAATAAATTCAACTCTGTTCATTAATGTAGTAGCTCAGATGACATCTAAACAAACCTTCAGTTAATGGGCACCTGTAATTATGAACTAAAGAGACAGCTAAAATCCAAGTATAAACATGTGCCAGGATTCCCTGAAGAACAGCAGAGTTGGATATAGGATACCTAAGGAATATTGATTGGCAAGTTCTTTTAGTCAATCAGTTAACTTCATGTATAGTAAGAAACCCTGTCTCGAAGATAAGGTGGCAAGCAATGAAGGAAGACAATTTAGCACCTGTATATGCACAAACTTAAAGAAAAGAAAGGAAAAGAAATATCTGTTTGATGACCATGTGAACACATTCAAGAAGGATAATAAACTTCTACATATATTCATTTTGAAGCGGTACTTGATGAAATGAGCGGTGTAAGCCATGTAGAGCAATGATTCTCAACTTTCCTAATGCTGCAACCCTTTGCTACAGCTCTTCATGTTGTGCTGACTGCAACTTAAAATTACTTTATTTCAACTTCATAACAGTAATTATGCTACTGTTGTGATTCATAATGTAAATATCTGATATGTGACCCGAAAGCAGTACAACACACCGATTGAGAACAGCTGCCCTAGACATAGTTGTGTTTAGGTAATACTTCTAGACGTTCATGTGAAGATATTCCAAATATTCACTTTTAATCAATTATAGTTAGTCCCATTAAATGGAATGTAAGTAGAGTTATACTGAGATGATATTTTAAAAATGAATATAAGTATTTCCTATTGGATATTCATGTGATATTTCTCTTCCACTTACTCAGAAGATGTATTGTATTTATAAACTTAATATTAGAATTACTTTAAAGTTATGTAACAACTTTGATTTTGAAGAGACAGTATTTTTAGAAGTATATTATATAATTCAAAAGAGTGAAACTTAATTTTTCCTGCTTTCTCTACAGAATATAAATATGCCATACAAATTAGACTAGTGATTTGTACCCAAAGAATGACATAATCAGCATGGCTTCTCGTAACATCTTATACTTCCTGACAAAATCTTATATAACCTACTATGACAGCATGAGGAAGGTTAGGTGTTAACGTGATTTCTTTTCTTACTTCAAAGCAGGAACAAGAGACGAGTTATACCATTCTGAGGGCAAGAGGCACAAATGTTACTATCAGTAGCCTCAAGCCAGATACTACTTACGTATTTCAAATTCGAGCTCGGACAGCAGCAGGATATGGAACCAACAGCCGCAAGTTTGAGTTTGAGACTAGTCCAGACTGTAAGTATTACTTTGGTTTTCTATAAGGAGTGGGTGCTGCAAAAATTGCAAAATGCCTGGTCAAATATTTTTAACAATAACCAAAGTCATGAAGTAGAGGTGTATGGAGAGGACCTTTAGCAAATTGCATGCTCTTGTGTACAGGGTGTCATATTGCTGTGAGTGGATCTGTGTCCTTTCCTCTTCTACAAATTAACTTTATTCTAACACTGAAATTTTCTTTTAATTAACAACAATTAACAATTTTAACATTAGTTCTGTTTTAATCCTTAATACATCCAATATAAACTAGAGCAAATGACTTTCATAGTTTTAAATGTGCATAGAGCATCATCTGTAGCCATGAGCAATTTAAATATACTATCCATTTCACTCAAAAGTGGACAAAATTTGTCAAAAATTGGAAAACACTTTTTTTAATAACTTTACTTTTCCTGAACTGTAAATATTATTATTTTAAAAGTTTTCTTCTATAATAGAAATGTTTCAAAGGTAGTTACCATTACTATAGTGCTAATACAAAATAAATATAATTCAAAGTTTTATTTAACAGAATCACAAATGAAACTAACTTAATTGAGAGGAAATGTAGATGTATGTATACAATATGCATGTATGTGAGGCATACTTAAAAATTTGTTAATAGGGCAAAAGTAGTTAGTGTACTATGTGGATAAGATTCTGTGGAACCAATAATTTAATGATATGGACTATTTTTCTATAAGAGATGATTCATTTTACCTCTAGTGAATAGGTATCATTTTAATTTCAATAGAAAAAAGTCATATGCCACTAACATTTTCATACTGCCAAAGCCACAGTTATGAAAATTGACCTCAGAGCTGATCAAAGATCCACAGCAGTCAGGCCTGGATTATCCTGGAAAGAATGATGGGGCCCAGCACTCTCCTGAAGAGAAACCTTGTAATCTCTTCTGACTACTCTAATTTCCAATTTTTTTGGCACTTGCATTTTCTATTTTCTAAATATTTTTTGTCCAACTGTAAAATCACATTTTTACTGGTATGGTGATATATCTATGCCTAGTAAAAATGCTCAGGGCTAATAACATGATCTGTATCATTCATGTATCCTAATTTAATAGTGCTGGGGTTCACCTCCTTGGGTAGTAATATTCATTTGCTTTCATGGATTCTAGAGTGTTAATTACATAGATCTGGGATGCTTGCACACTTCTGCTATATCAAAACAGCATTCATCCTGTTTAAATCTTTATTTTCCACATTAGTACATTAATCTCAGTATGGGATAAAATGAGAAGAGCAGACCAACTGGCAACCCAATAACAAATGGTCAGCCCTGACAGCATATGCATAAGTAACCCTCTACAAACTGGGCATGCTATATTTGGAACTATATGCTCATCTGCATAAATGCATGCAACAACTCACAAATAAAAGAGGCTAGGAATTTGAAAGAGGGCAAGGGGTAATGCATACAGGAGGCTTTGGAAGAAACAAGGGAAGGGAAAATTATGTTAAAGACATTATAATCTCTAAAATAAAGGGAAAATGTGATGTGAGGAGAAAAATCAAAGAATCTGATTTGTGGGGAAGTGCATTCAAATGAATTCTTGAGAAATGTAATACTAATCAATGACATCAAGGTATAAATTATCTTCAAGAGCTAGTTCCAGCCATGCAGTGGTGGCGCACGCCTTTAATCCCAGCATTCGCGAGGCAGAGACAGGCAGATCTCTGGGAGTTCGAGGCCAGCCTGGTCTACAAAGTTACAGAGAAGCCCTGTCTAGAAAAAAAAAAAAAGATAGTTCCAGGACAGGTCCCAAAGCTACAGGGAAACCTCTCTGAGCTTCTGGAATCTGCAGATCTTCTGAATGCAAGAGTATAACTTTTATTAGACTCCTTGTGTGCATGAGAACATGAAGCATTTGTCCTTTGCTTGGGTAATTTCCCTTCATACCATACCTTCCAGCTTTAGTCACTATGTTCAGCCAGTTACTTCTTATTTATCCAGTGAGTTTCATATCAATATGGATAGACATAAAAAGACCACTGTATTCATATTTCATATGTAGACATGCAAGTAATGTTGATGATGTGAAAACAAAGTAATTTATTATTCAACCTTAATACATTAATGAGAAATTAGGTAAAAAGTTATGAGACGTGTGTCTTTTTCATTTGAAACTCAGTGAATTTCCTCAGTAATAATTCTGATAGTTTCCTTTTCTTACATAAAAACTACTTCTCAGGTAAAAGCAGTATGCAAGATGATTTTATAGCCACTGTCATGTAGTCAGTCATGGTGATAATGTTTGTTCTTATATTGCTTTTCTTCAACCTCCCAGCTTTCTCCATCTCTGGTGAGAACAGTCATGTGGTGATGATTGCCATTTCAGCCGCCGTGGTCATCATTGTCCTCACTGTTGTCATTTATATATTGATTGGAAGGTGAGTTTACTAGGCTAAACTATTGACCTTAACTATGACCTCATTGCCCTGAGTTGCTTTAGAATCTGAAGACTGTGTACTCAAAGAAGTCATTGAAAAGATTAGAATGTTTCTGTTCTAGTTCATTTATTTTATTTTCATCCATCCTTCTTTCATTTTTATTTCTCCATTATTGTTTTAATTTTTGAGATTATATGCTTATAATATTTTCTTTCCTCTTCTCCCTCCAAAGATTCACATGTATCTCTCCTTCTCTGTCAAAGTCATTGTCTCTTCCTTTCATTGTTATTGAATTCATACAGGTTTATACATATATTCCCAAATACAACCTGTTTATATAATGCTACTTGTATGTATGCTTTCAGGACTAACAGTTTGGTATTAGATAACCAATTGATGTGTTCTTCCCTTGAAAAGACTATTTCTCCAGCTCTCAGTCCTTTGTGTGTGTGAGGCTGAGGCCGCCTGGGCTTTCTACTGTCTGACTGATCACATCTATTGGTATTGTTCTTGTCTAGTTCAGGTTTTAGGAGTCATGTTGATGAGACTTAATGGGTGTAATGTTGGACATTAGTCAGAGACATATTCCCGCAAAAAACATCCTGATCTCCACTCATTCTTATCCTCACCCTCAAACACAAAGCACTTCTCTCAGAACCCTGCTCCTAGTTTCCACCTTCTTTTTCCAATTATCCCCTCATTCTTCAAATAACCCCAGATTTCCTTGACACTTTCTCACCCCAAACACTGGTAACAGGGCACAGCACTAATCATTACCAACGGAGACTTTACCCTTTATTCATTCCAACAGTAGTTGTTAAAAATACTATAAACACATTCTAATGCTATTATAAAAACTGAACTGGAGGTGTCTGCTCAGTGGGAAGGCAACTCTACATATCTCCTCATTAGGAGGCCTTCCAGGGTCTCCAGAAAGGGAGGCTTTCTGGGGAGAACTTAGAATATAACATCAGTTAAGCTTTCATTAAATTATTGTTTCAGAGAAAAGCTTTATTTGGGGTCTTTACATTATCTGAACATGGATAGTTCATTTATGTATTTTTTCTCTTTGTTTTGCCTCTAGGTTCTGTGGCTATCACAAGTCAAAACACAGTTCAGATGAGAAGCGTCTTCACTTTGGGAATGGGCACTGTGAGTTTCCAAACTCTGTTTTAACCTTTCAGCTTTAGCAGTAGTTGTTGATTTATGCCTGCCTGGATAAAAGAATTCTAAAAGTAGTCTTATGAGGGAAAAATGAGCAAATTGAATTTACTTTAGAAAAAGGAGGAAATCCATAGCTCTACATTAAGCAATTTTTCCATGACTACATTTCAGCGTATTTAAAGTGAAGGGGAACCTGTGGTTTATTTTCAAATAATGTCTGTCATGAGTCCCGAGAAGTGTAGACAGCTCTGCATGCCTGAAATGAAAGCATATCTTAAACTTCTTCTTCCCAATTCTCTGCTGAAACCTAAATAGGAGCATTTTTCCCTCTCTTAACGGTCATGTCAATATAAACAACCATTTATGTGAAATGCCTTACTCCTTTTGTTACACCAACCAGGAAAGAGCTTTTAGAGTAAACTGTTTATTTTGAAGTATGTGTCATCCAATTAGTAGGAAAGACAAGAATTTTCTTCCCAGTTTCTGCACCAACCAATTTAACCTCTAGTAATAGAAGTACACTTTTAGGTAACAGAATGCATCTAAAAAAAAGATATATTTTTATTTATTCCCTCTGATGTCTGCTTTTCCACACGAGCTTCATTCAGGGAGCAAACACTAATCATTGTCCTTCAGAGGAACAACAAGATCCCACGGAAGTTAGCAGAAAATCCAAGCTGATCCTCCCTTGCTCTGAAATATCTTCGTAGAACTAATAATGAAGTCTTGCAAGCAAGAATTACTTTAGCATTTGCTGTTGCCTTTCAAAAATGTTTTCAGATGGATAGGATGCTGTTTACAAACATCTATTTCAACACCTAAAAATTATCATTTCACCTATAACTAATGTAACAAATTATTTCGTAGTTCACACGTAGAAAGCGAACAATAGATTAGAAGGAAGAGAAAAGGATGTTTATGAAGTTTATGTATGGAAACAGTGTAAGACTTTGTAGATACAGGAGTTTTATTCACTTCATTGTAGAGTTGCAATAAAATAATCATTCTATGATAAAAAACACCAACTTATTTCAATGCCACATTTATACAGGTTACTAGAACACAGGTGAGTTAGTTTACCAAATATACTTAGTGAATCGTCAAATTATAGAAGCGTGAACTACTGTTTCTTTGAAGTCTGACTGGCTGGGCCATTAGAATTTTTGACCCGAATCTTGCTTAGTTAGAGGTGGATGATTACTGTGAATACTTTCTATACCGGAAAAAGCTGATTTAGCTATCAATACAAGGATCGTATGTGTTATGAATATGGACTATGATAAATTTCTGTCATGAATTTTAAGTAGGTTCTAGTATTGTACTCTTGTTTTTTTATGGCTGTGTTTCTTAAAACAATTTGTCAATGCACTATATCTTTAAAATAGACAAATTTTAACAAAGATATGCATATTATCTCAGCTTTAAAATCATAAAGCAACTTACATGCATGTCATAGACTTTCTGCCTCTCAATACTACAGCTGGTTTATTTCAGACCATTTATTTGGTATTGCTTTAAAAAGCTCTTGCTATGAACTATTCCCTCAAGCCTTGTTACAAATCCTATAATGTTGCTTCAAAAGAAAAGAAATGTGTTTTGCCTTTTAAGATCCTGTCCCCTTGCCCTCAGTGCCTGGACATTTTTTGTTCATTTTTTGTTGATTTTTTTCTTTTTTTTTTCCTTCTGTCCTTAGGGCAATTCATGCTGGTAAAATGGAAATGTAAATTATTGTGTTTGCACAGAATGAGCTGTAAAGTAGTGCAGCTTAACACGTGTGCATGTGTTTATTATCTGGTTTTCATGGCAGAGCCCGGTTACTCTGTGTGGTGCCCTTAATTATTGGTGTAAAGGGATTATTTGCATTGCAGCCCAAACCTCCTGGTTCCCAGAACATCAAGAGTGAGCAGTTAAAATTCAACAGTCAAAGTCCCTAGTGAAGAAAGCCTTTTACGCATGGGCGTGTGCTTATGTGTATAATTTTTCACCAGTGTCGTGTGGACAGAAAATCAATTTACTTTATGCTAACTAATAGAAGTGAATGTGATTGATTTTGAGGCAAGAATGACTATCCAAGCTATATATTATTTAATGAAGCATGATTTTTTTCTAGGCATGACTTTAAAAACTCAGTTAAAAACTTTTTAAACCAGCAGAGTATATGTATATATAATTTTCAGTTATTGCATTTTACTAATTATTTCACATTTTTATAAATTCTAATGCCAGCAACTCTTCCTAAAATGAGTTTCATTCTTCAAATTTAACAAGGTCAAACATTTCTAACTATTTAATAAAAATATTCAACTCTGTATTATGTTCAAAATGTTATTTTCTTTCTTAAAGAGGAAAACTAGATTCTTATACTATTCAAATGTAGAAGCAGATCAAAATATATCAGAGAATCAGTAATTTGAAGTGAGTATTTAGATGTAACCAAAGTCTAACAAATGCTCAAATATTATAACCCATATTTACTCCCTGAAATATTATAGTAATTCAACATGTAATAGTTTTCCTTAGGCGTGGTATCTTAGTATTGATTTTAGGAGCTATGTTAGTTTAATATGAAGAATAATAAATCTTCGTGTCAATTTTTTGATACCATTAATTTTTATAGTAATAGAGTAATTGTTCCATGAAAGAAATCTTCCTTAAAGAAGAAATACACTATGGAATGCTAGGTTCACTATTGTTTCTCTGTGATGAAGGCTTACTTTCAGCACAATTACTGGCACTACTGAATATCCTATAAAGCCAACTCAAACGCCTGTTGGGTCTATGCAATCCTTAGCTATATGTCTGGGAAAGACATACTTCAATTAAAGCAATTTTTGAAAATTACAGTGTCTGATTTTATTTTATTTTTTAAATAAAAAAGGTGTCCTTCTACATGTAAGGGTTATTAATGAAAAAGTTGTATCTTTTAAGCATCCATAGTTCATATTAAAAGAATATGATTCATATTATCAAAATTTAAATCATCTATAATGTCAATTTATGTAATGTGACTATCAATTTTCATTCCTTAATATTGGAGTGTATTCATGGTTTGATCATATGTTCTTGCTTGAAAATTTTTCTTTTGGAGGAAGGTTGTTTGAAGATTCCTCAATGTGATTTTTTTCAAATGTGATCATTTTTTCCAAATCACATAATACAAAATGATATCAAAAAGATTTATTTGAGGATTCTATGATTTTTTACAGAAAATCCATGAAATATTCACATTAAGAATATTCTATAATAAATATAGCATGAAGTTACATGTATGATTTACCTTTGAAAAAACTTTTCAGCATAACTATAAGCTTATGAACAATATTTATGTTGATTTTAATTATGTGGAAAGGCACATGGGATTTTAGTCAGCTGATAGTATGCTGGTATGCACATAAAATATACAGCTTAAACTCAAATTTTCAGTTGAGATAAGTGAACTCATTTGTGAGTAAATAAAACAATAGTAGTAGCTGGGGTGTGGTAGCATGTGCCTTTAATCAAGGCACTGGGGAAGCAGAGACAGGCAAATCTCTGTGAGTTTAAGGCCAGCCTGGTCACCGGAGCTAGTTCAAGGATAGGTTCCAAAGCTACAGAGAAACCCTGTCTAGAAAAACCTAAAACTAAAACAAACAAGCAAACAAACAAAAAACACAGTAGTGTCAGAGAGGTTTTGCTTTTAGAAATACTTTAATTACTCCACACTTAAGCCTTTCTTCTGCTTCCAGAGCATATTCATGTCTTTTGATTCACTGTCAGATAATAGATATTGGCTAGTCTAAGGACTCTAAATCAAAAATGTTTAGTAGCGCAGAGGCATGATAGCTTGTGATAGTAACTACCTTGCCTACTCATGTTCTTGTCATCTTCCATCCTGAGATCTGCATTTCCATGCCCCCTTCCAGTGTTTTAGCAAAGAAAATACCTTAACTTGCTTCCTCTTTATATTATATAGTAGACAACATTTTTCCATACTTAGTACAATTTTTTTCAGATTTTTTAATATTATAGAGTAATATTTAGTAGACTAAGGGATAAAGGTGTTTTCAGCAAATAATATAATGAATTTCACTTTGTAAAATCATGCTTTTTGTTTTCTATAGTAAAACTTCCAGGTCTCAGGACTTATGTTGATCCGCATACCTATGAGGACCCTACACAAGCAGTTCATGAGTTTGCCAAGGAGTTGGATGCCACCAACATATCCATTGACAAAGTTGTCGGGGCAGGTAATTGACATGTCCATAGCTCTTCTAACAATAACTTGCTAATCATGAGCATTCAAGTTAGAGTGCTACGTGGGGAACATGAGCCTGCTCACTTATCGAGGCTTATACGCATTGCTACGGAGACAGGCATTTTCTGATTTCACGATCAAAGACGGGTAATAAAAAATGCACCATTTAGTGGATTGCAGTGATCTCAAAGGTGCCAGACTTACAGACTCTCAGACCACGGCTGCCTGTTATTTATTGAATTCCAGGGACAGCGGTGGCAGTGGCTAATGGCTGATCATGTGTCACAAATCTACTTGCCTAAATGGGGACAGCAGAAAAAAAGTGAGTCTCCTGCTAAACAAGACTAGTAATTGTAAAGCTTGATTTTCGTTTTAAAACCCTCTTTCAAATTCAAATAAGCAACAATCAAAAATAATAGGCTGGCACATTTGTCATAAATGCGATGTGCCTGTTTTGAAGGAATGTTTTAAATAATGTGAAGTACGTGATTTTAACATCCATCTCATAGGTTTTTACACGAATAGTCCAAAAGTCCTCCGGAAGTGGTCAGATAACCCCATGCAAGCAAAGAACCTCTTACTCTTGTTTTATATTCCAAGTTATGGTGCAACTTGTATATCCCCCATATCTGTAGTGACATATTCTAACTTGAGTTCAGATAATCAGTTGGATATTCAAATATTGTTCCTTCATTCCTCCCATCCCAAGAAACACTGTAGTTTTTGACTATGGCTCAGAAACAAGGGCTCGTTCTTCCAAGCTTTCGTAAGTGGCTTTGTCATTGCTTTGGAAACACTGGAAAGCTTTTTCTTAAAATAAAGTGAAGTAAGGCAAGGTGAAAACTTCCTAAAGAGTTGGCAAACAATTTGCTGTGATGTAGCCTGCCAGTCTGTAGGATATTCTGCCATTTTCTAGGTAAAAACCACTTATTTGGCAAAAAAGTAAGTAAGTAATAAATAAATAAATAAGTAGGAGATTCTTTCTACCTTCTTTCTAATGGGTACAAAGGGCACCATACTCAAGAAACTTATAGCAACATAAGACCACAAGCATAGAAAATTATCATAGACTTAACTCAAAAACATGTCGAAATGATCTCTTTCTGGTTACAACAAGATTATCTTCTAAATATGGTTCAATATAGATCTAATAATCTGTAAAATAATGGGAAGAGACATTCTTGTGAAGCAATATTTTCTAGCAATCATGACTGCCATGGAGGCAGAGAACTAAATGTAATAGATGTCTTCTCAGAGGGCGCTTGATGTACCTATTGGAAGAGTGATAGGTAAATCTTATCAGTAAGCTGGTAGGCTCCTAAGAGTTGAACAATGTTTTATATCAACTACATTGGAAAGTTTAAAAGTCGGCAATATTTCATGTTCACAATTTTTAGATCACTTGCACTTTAAGACAGCTTGATGGAGAACATACAGTCTAAGCAAACATTTCTTCAGTGAGATTTTAGATAAAACTTGCTATGCTTCATTTGATATTGTTATATTATTGTTCTCCTCCCAGAAGCCTAGAGAACTTTATAGCAAGTGTGTCAATAGTACAACAAACCAATACTCCAATAAAATGAATTGGTAGCAGATGCTTACCCTCTCATTTTCAGTGAGCCTAAGTACACAGTCAATTTGGCCCTCACAGTAAAAATGGAAGAGTTTCAGACATCTGAAATTAATCCAATGTTAAACCCTTATATCTGTGTTTGCCTGTTGATAACCCTGAAATAATGTTAGCTATTAGAATAAGGAATGCAATGTCTGATAGATGCTTCTCTCAATTTTCCTCTTGTAGTTTCCTGATGTGGTGATTTAAACCATGTCGAGATCCTCAGCCAGTCCATGAATATCCTGGGAATCCCTAGGCAATTTTACATTACTGTCTTCCAATTTTATATTACTAACTTCCATACAAGTTTTAGCTTGCAAACATGGAAGTGAAAATATATATTCTTTCATGGAAATAGTTGATCTGATTTGATGATTTGGTGTCTCTGTGTGCATGTGTGCATTTGTGTGCATACATGTGTGTGTTTGCGTGTGTGTGTTTGTGTGCGTGTGTAGTGTATACCTATGTGTATAGGTGTCGTCACATATGCCTGTACCAATTGAAGGAGGATGTTGACTTTGGATGTCTCCCTCTATTGATCTCTATTTAAATGGCTGAGATATAATCTCTCATTAATCTGGAGTCCTAACTGTGGCAAGACTGAATGATCAATAAGCCCAAGACCTGCTCTTGTCTCTACCTCCACCCAGCACGAGGCTGCAGCTTTGCACCACTATACATGACTTTACCCTGGGTGCTAGAATTCTGAACCCAGAACCTCAAGTTTGCGAGCAAGCACTTTACTAACTAAGCCACCCTCTCAGCCCCATGAATCTGGAATTTCTTATTATATTTTATTGATCTTTCATATTGTAATAGGTGAATTTGGAGAAGTTTGCAGTGGTCGCTTAAAACTTCCTTCAAAAAAAGAAATCTCAGTGGCCATCAAGACGCTGAAAGTAGGCTACACAGAGAAGCAGAGGAGGGACTTCCTGGGAGAAGCGAGCATCATGGGACAGTTTGACCATCCCAACATCATCCGGCTGGAAGGAGTTGTCACTAAAAGTAAGGAAAATCACAATGTCTGATTTATTTATGCTTATCAGATATTGCACAAACTAAATACAATCTTTGAAGAATTTTCATATCACAAGCAGCTTGGTTGAAACTGAAATTCTGACAGGATGAACATACATTTTTTTTTTGTGGCAATAGATTGATTGGCAGTGCTGTTCTATATCAAAGAAACCGTTGACTTTTGACCTTAGTCTCTTGATTGAAAGATCGTCTTGAAAAGAATTGCCTTTAATCCCAGCACTCGGGAGGCAGAGGCAGGTGCATCTCTGGGAGTTTGAGGCCAGCCTAGTCTACAAGAGCTAGTTCCGGGACAGGCACCAAAGCTACAGAGAAACCCCCTTTGTCGAAAAACCAAAAAAAAAAAAAGAAAGAAAGAAAAAAAAAGAAAGAAAGAAAAGAATTGCAGAGGACAGTCTTGTTCACAGAGTAGCAGGATAAACAATGGCTGGATTTTGAAGGAACTCCCAACTAGCTGTCTTTTCTTATATTACTCACCAGCCTGGTTTAAGCTCTCAGATCTTTGCCCCCTTGTTCCCCACCTGCCTGTAGGAAAATTATAGGAATCTCGGGGATGCTTCTAAGACATAAGATTGGAACTCAGAGGAGACCCAGACCTTCTCTGTTTCTCGGTGGATTTCAGGTAGTTCTGACCTAGGCTTCCAGGTGCATCCCTGGCTGTGCTGGGAAACCCCTGGCTCTGAGCCATCACAGAACTCTGGATTTATTTCCATGATGATTTCTTCAGCCAGGCCAAAGGGATCCTGTGAGGCTGATCTGTGATTATTGGCTCCAGTCCCAAGGAAAACCTCTTGAGAACACACAGGCAATTTTTTTTTCTCAAGATTATGAAGCACAGGGCAAAGAATAAGTGAAATTGGCAACAGACTCCATACAGTGAATGACAACATATGGCAGAAAATTTGGCATCCTTCAGGGGATAATTCGCTGGCACCACATTTCCATACTCTATGGTTACCAAGAGACATTCCTCGTTACATTGAGCACATTGTTATTTTTCTGTAACATTACTTGTTATTCTTTCCAAGTGGCACTGATGCCTTCCACCAATTTATTGGAACTATAAAGGTATTTCCTTTTGCACAGCATGTGGCATAATTAATGAATACTTTGATTTTCCTGTGAGTTTCCATATGAAATAAATAAAATTAAGAGTTTAACAAGGAGCCAGGAGGTGGTGGCACACACCTTTAATCCCAGCACTTGGGAGGCAGAGGCAGGCAGATCTTTGTGAGTTCAAGGCCAGCCTGATCTACAAGAGCTAGTTCCAGGACAAACTCCAAAGCTACAGAGAAACCATGTCTCGAACAAAACAAACAAATAAAAAGTAATTTTATAATTTGTAATAATTTAAGTATGCACAGCATGACCATTTTAAATCTTGTAGATGCTTAGTTCTTGTCCCTGTGGTCTTAGTTGTCTGTCCATATTACCAGTCATACTGAAATAGTCACGATGGAAATATTTTTGTCTTAACAATTAATTAAAACATTAATAATAGAAGTGAGGATTATGAAAATGAGTGGTTTTATTATTCCTTCAGGAAAAGAACACAGTGTTTTAGATGTACAGGGTCACATATCATTGGATTTCCAGTGTCGTTTACGCATTTAATGTTCATGGTGACATCTTGATCAAGCAGTTGCTGTTGGTCTGGAGCCCAACCGGGAAAGTCATCCACGTGGACTTACACAGCTCTCCTCCTCGGTTTCCGCTGTTCTAGTTCCTTGTTTTTCCCGCTGGTTTTGACTTCGTACTGCTGTACGCTTCCCTTGTTACTACCACTGCTGCATTAGAACTGATCACTTCTTTTTTACATTTTCGGGAAGGACCATACATGATAAGGTCCGTTTCTAGAAGTCACTACAGATATTGAGAAATACAGTTTTCCATCTTAACTCTCTCCCCAAATAAGGGGGAGAAACTTGTTTTTATTATCTTCTTTTAGCATGGATTTTCTCTATGCGTGAGTGAGTGTGTGTGTGTCTGTGTGTGTGTGTGTGTGTGTGTGTGTGTGTGTGTGTTAGGACACATGTGTGTCATACCTAGAACATTTGAGAGGTCAGAGACAACCAAAGAATCTAATTCTCGTCGTTCAACATGTGAGTCCTTCAGACCTAACTCGAGTCATACAAACTGGAGGCAAATGCATTTTACCTGCTGAGCTAGCTCACCAGCCCGGGTCTCATGTTATATTCTTATATAACACCTACTCTCCTATTTCTTTATTGATGAAAATATTCCTAAACCTCCTTTGGAGCAAAGCACCATTTCAACTTTCTAAAACTTTTGCATTCATTTGTTACTGCTGAGCCCTGAAACAAGGGACTAGGTAGATGACTCAGTGGTTAGGAGCATTTGCTATGCACACATAAAACCTCCCGTTGAATAATCAGAATCCATGCCAACAAGCATGACCACATGTTCCTCTTTCTCTAGTGCAGAAAATGAAGACAACAGGAGGATCACTGTGTTTGCTGGGCATTAAGTGGAGGCACCAAGTTTCTCGAGAAACCCTGTCTAAAGGGAATGAGACACAGAAAAATAGAGAATACCAGATATCCTCCACTGGACCAGGCATGCTTGTGCACAGTTCTATTTGCCACACTCAAAAACTAACTAGTAAACTCAATAAATAAATGAAAAATTAAACAAGACAACCCTAACCAGATAAAATATCTCAGAGATGATAGGGATGGGACTAAGTTTAGTCTTGGACTGAAACAGATACTTAAATTTCCCGTGTGTTGGGAATCAAAAATGTATGGATTGAAAAAGTGGCAAACATGTATATATATATATATATATATATATATATATATATATGCATATATAGATGCATGTAAAAACAATCAATGAAAAAATAAAGGCCACAAATTTGAAAGAGAACAAGAAGGGAAGAAAGTGAGTTAACGTCACCATGAAAAACAATGCTCTGCTCAAGTGACGTTAGTGGCCAGGTTCCGTTGTTTCACCAACAGGCATTGTTTCCTTTGAGTCCAGTGAGATGAGTTAATAAAGGTAACCTGTTCTGCTGAGACATAAGAACATGTTTACTGCATTAAGAGTTCCACAAAACAGTGAATATTGAGGGAAATTTCCTTTACATCTAAAAATAGAACCATACTTTGAATTAAAATAACCCAAAGAAACAACAACTACATTGAAAACATCTAAAACAGTCTCCAAGACAAAAACATAGGAAAAAGTAAACATATTTCAAATCAAAGAGATGTTAAAAATGCAGGTAGCGTATGTTGAGCTTCTTCCTCAAGTCTGATTCTGGAATGCTCTGGTGTGGATTACAGCTACCTCCTCGGAGTGAAAGTTCTAAATATGCCATATCTCTCCGCTCAAATAAGAACATGAGCAGCTGCCAAGCCCACTCTATAAATACAGCCGCCGTATGCACTGTAAACTTAATAGAGTAGTCGGGGTAGAATTCAATCGTGAGCTCCTCAGTGGTATGTTTAAAGGCTACAAGTCTATCACTCTGCAACGGCGGAGGGAAATATAAACTCTTTTGGTATCAACTTAATATGTTTCATTTACAACAAAATAGAGCTAATCTGCCTCTCAAAGTTAGATTTTCTACTGGCCATTTTGTTTCCTAAAACTCTTTGACTTCTGGAGCTATTCTGTCCACAAAGTACAGAGACACCTTAGCACACTGCAGCAGACTGAAGCTGAAAAAAATGGCATTTACAAAGCAAAAAAAAAAATACATTTTAAGTAGGAGCCAGTGGATCTAAAATTGAATTCCAAGTCAAGCTTGCTCAGTGTGAGTCCTCTTGCACATCAGAGTGTTACAGGTGATTCCTCTGTGAAATGAAGAACAACAGTACTGTAGCGTTTTCAGACACTTCACATATCAGAGGAGTTTATACAAGGCTAGATTTACCACCTCTGACTAAGCTCCAGTTAATGAATCAACAAAAGAAAATTCTGGAAAATAATTCCTTGATTTTGCTTCTTCTTTTTTTCTTTGTGTTTAAAAGCCATTCATTTTTATTATTGCTATGAATTGTGTGCTTGGAACCACTCAACCTATGTAACATGCTATTTTCGGATCATTTTTTTTGAAAGCTCATTATATAGTCATTACTTTTTCATTTATTTGAGTTGAGCCATAAACAATGTTAATGGCATGGTACTTGCCGAGCCCGATGGCCTTGAACAGGAGAAGGTGATAGAGCCTGTGATCTTCAAAGTAGCAGAAAGCTGGGGCACACTCTGCTCAGAGCTAGGCACTAACATGTGTTATCAATTTTGCTTAAGTTCAAAAGGATGGAACTTTGTTTCAGCAAATGTTTGATATTTCTGCCATCACACCATTAGTTAAATGATGCTCAGGCTCCAACAATAATTACCACTGGCAAACTTTACCTACTGGGATAGAGAAGGAGTCATACTGGATGTGACTAGTATATTTTCACATTGAAATTATTTTCTAGAAATTAAAATAAAATTATAGCAAAAATTAGATTTACTGTATATCTCATATGTAATCTTGTATGATGAAGAATTCTGTGAACAGTGCATTATAGGATTTCTTTATATGTCCCTTTGAATGCCCATATTGCCCAAAAGGCTTAGAAATTTTTATTATCTTCACATAAGATGAGAAAACATTACTAGAAGGTGATGCTATTTGACAATATCAAATCTTCATTATTTCACTTGCTTCTCTCTAAAAGTTTTATCTATGCTTGTTATAGTACTATATTTCATATGACTTTGTCAGTAGCTGGTATTTATACGATATTTATTTTACCAATATCAAGAATGGTTTGTTAGAATAACACATTTTGGCAATGCTGATGATGCAAGTTATTTCACACAATCACAATTGCAAATTGACAACTGAGTCAGAACACATATATCAGCATGCCATGTAATATAATTGGGAAGGCTTTAATCAATGTGATATAAAACAATAAGAAAGCAAGACTGGGCAGTGGTGGCGCACG